TAGTGATAAGACTTATAATAGAAATGTCCTAAATTTATTTGTTCTGGTAAAGGGTGACCCTTTTGGTTTACAATCATGCAGAAATTAATTCTTTGAGAATTTCTTGCATTGTATTTTGATCATAATCATCCTTCCTTCCTCCTAACTCTTCCCATATCTCGTTACTTCCCTACCCCCCAACTTGTGTTTTTTTAATGGATCAACTCCAATTTGTTTTGCCCATATGCTTGTGGGTATATGTCCATCCACTGGAACATGGTGGTTGACCTAACAGGACCCACATTGTGAAAGAAAACTGACTTTTTGTCCTCCAGAGATCAACCATCCATAATTCCTCAGGGGCGAAGCTTATGAACCCCTTCCCACACCATGCTGGAATGTTAACTGGCTTAATCTTATGCATGTCTTGTGGAGGCACCATAGCTCTGTGAGTTCATGAGTGCAGTGGTCCTGCTATGTCCAGAACACATTGTTTGGCTCTGGTTCCCGAGCCTTGGGGAGGGGTGTATATTAGTCACTTTTCTGTTGCTGTGATAGAAACACTGACCCAAGCAATTTATAGAAGGAAGAGTTTATTTGAGCTTATGGTTCCAGGGGAATTACAGTCCATCATGGCAGGGAGGCATCATGGCTGGAGATGGCTGGAACAGGAGCAGCAGAAGCTAAGCTCTCACATCATCACGCAGGCACAGGAAGCAAGAGAGTGACTGGAGATCCAGCAAGGCTTAAGAACTCTCTAAGCCCACCCCCAGTGACGTGCTTCCTCCAGGAGAGCCACACCTTCTAAAACCTCCCAAAACAGCGCCATCATCTGGGGACAAAATGTCCAAACACTTGGAGCCTATGGGGGACATTCTCATTCAAACCATAACAGGGTGTGATATAGAAGTCCCATTTGTGACTGAGCAATCCACTGATACTTTCTATGCACTTTATCAGTTGTCAGTTTCTGCATTAACCTCCACAGCACAAAAAGCTTATCTGAGAGACCTGAGAGCTGCCCTAATCTACAGGTAGAGACACAAATTTAGAGAGTAGTTTGAAACTGTTGGTTTAACAGAATTTTAGTAGTGTGTTCATCCCTGGGGCCTGTGAGCTTCCTAACCATGGGTTCTTGGCCAGATTTATCAAGCCTGTGTTTCCTCCTGTGGAGCAAGCCTTAAACCCAGTCAGCAGTGTGGTTGGTTACTTCCATGTGATTCATACCACTATTGCTTCCATGGGCATATCTTGCCATGCCAGTCGTTATTTAAATTCCCAGGATTCACAGCTGGGTAAGAATGTTGTTGATGTTTCTCCCCCAGCAGCCTGCAAACATCTTCTGATACTGTGAAAGCTAGACAGCAGAGGAAGTTTCCTGGTCAGTACCAACTTGATTTTTGTACTTGTCCTGTGACCAGTGTGTACAATGTCTTCAGCAGTAGCATCTTCCCATCAAGCTCTGGTAGGCAGCACAGAGCAGTGGTAGCTGCCTGTACTGTTTTTTGGGTCTCCAGGACATCCCTGATCAACAAGTAACTTTTGAGTGTTTGGTTGAAACAATGTGGCTTTAGCTTTTTGGACAGAAGCCTTAAGAAGATAGCCATTATCACAGTGGTATTTGGATGTGCCCCATGAACCAGTATGCCAGATTTGTAAAAAGGGGGAAGGAATAAGCGAGTTTAAGTTTTGTTCAGGTAAGGGGAAATTGCCCAGAGAAAAAGTGTGTAAGACAGATAAGTCCTTCTATACATGTATTTATGTAGTGATACAAAAGTAAATACGGTAAGAGATACATACTTACATGTCTCCTTACATGTCTCAGCAGCGGTTAGGCTCTGGTTGGCAGTGAAGAGCAGTAAGCGCATGGCCGGGCTCCTTTCCTGTGGGTCTCACACTTGTTTCATTTGATTTTGGGGGTTTCCAGGTATGTTTGTGTTTCATGCATCTGTTCTTTCCAGCTGGGTTTACCTTCAGTGCACACCAGCAAAAATAAGCTGACTATATTCTTTTCTGTTTTTGTTTTGTGTATTTTAGAATTTTTGTTTTATTCCAAGAGAGGCAATTTTTAACACATTTTTTCCAGAAATAACTTGAAGCAGGCCACATAAAAATATATATGCAATGAAATTTAGTGGGGGGGGGTAGGAATAAAGCTGACTACTATGTGTCAGTCTTCTGCTTAGAGTGTATCTTCTCTCAGCATTTAAAAAAGGAGCTGGATAGGTGTGGTGGTGGCTCACGCCTTTAATCCCAGCACTGAGGCAGAGGCATGTGGAGCTCCATGAGAGAGCCCACATAAAACGGCAGTGTTGGGGCACGCACTTGTATCCTGGTGTTAGAAAGGTGGTTTTTTGTTTCTAAGTTACATTACAGTTGTGTCTGAGTAAACGGCCAAGAGTAGACCTGAACTCTTGAGAACCACCTGTTCCTCCAGCTGTCTCTGGGAACTGTGCTCCAGAGCCAGGCCTCACTGGTTCTTTTATTCCGATAGTATCCCCAGCTAAGATCCACCCCCATCTCATCTGAGAATCTTGCCCTTTGATCCCTAGGCCTAAAGTATCTCACACAGATTCCAGATAGACTTCCCAGTTCTTGCTGTTTTCAGTGAGAAAGACCTTGCTCCTTCCAGAGCTTTACTGTGAACCATGCATACCCACATTCATTCAGTACCTTGGGGTGAAGGCAAGGTTGGGGTCCTGAGGGATTAAGGTCATATGCTTGGGTCACAAGAGGAATACCACACTCAGTGAGCTTGTTTACATTATAAACAGCTTTTTGAGTGCAAAGTTAGGTAAAGTCATTCCTGCAGAGGTGGAGACAGGAGGTTCTCTGGCCCATCAGTCTAGCCTGTTTGGTGAGCTCCAGGCCAATGAGAGACCCCGTTTCAAAGGACATGTATGTTGTTCCTGGAGATGACACCCAAGGTTGTCCTTAGGCTGATTTCCAAATGCACAGGTACACACACAGGCATTAAAAATATAGTGAATGACCGAGTGAAGGTGTTGAGTAAAAACTTGTCTTAAGTGGAAACCCATCTCCCTGTAGTATAGTTTACATTTTGGTTCTAAGTAGAATTTTTTTAATTATTTTGGAAATTTTAAAATTATATGACCAAACGCTCACTAATAAAGATAATGTGAGAAGCAAAACATAGGGACATTTGATGTCTATTTATTTTACACACACAGAAAAGAGTTTAAAGAACACTATGTTGCTGGGTGTGATTGTGCATGCCTTTGATCCCAGCATTCGGGAAGTAGAGGCAAGTGGATGTCTGTGAGATCAAGGCCAGCCTGGTCTTCATAGCATATTCTAGGACAGCTAGGGCTACAAGGAGACCGTCACACAAAAAAGAAAGTCCTGTTTGTACTTGAATGTGTTTTAACTGTGCAGGTGGAACCTACGTGTGCTCCTGTAAATAAAACAAAAATGGGAGGCTCAGTTTATAAGTGTTTTCTCTAGCACCACTTAAAAAGCCAGGAGTCATCATATGGGCAGCAGTAATGGAACTCAGTGAATTTTATTTTAAAGGGGGACAAGAAGGGGAGGTGAGAGGGGGACGTTTCAGGGGACTGCGTCCTGGAGGAGCAAGAAGGGAGGTGTATATGGTGAGGCCATGTGCATGGGTGGGGTTGTCAAAGAATAGATGGAAACAGTATTTTGGAAAGCCCGGCATTGTGGCATGGGACAAGCTGGTCCTTGGAGCTTACTGTCCAACAAGCCTCAATCCCAGTAAGACCTTGTCTGAACCGAGCACTGGATATTATCTGAAGAATGGTACCCAAAGTTTATCTTTGCCCTTGGCATGAATGTGCACAAATACGCACCTATGCACATGCACACACAGACCAAAGAAAAAGAAAAAACTCAAGATAATTTGTTGTGTGACTTTTGCTGGGGAGACATGAGCAAATATCTCCTTGCCTTAGAGGGGTACCAACAACAGACCAAAGAAATGATTCCATTACAGACAAATTCATTGGAGCACTGAGTTCATTGAGCGTCCTCATAGGAGTGTGGATGGGCAACTTGTAGGTCACTAAGAAGAGTCTTCCCTGGACCCACAGCTCTCTTGAACCTCTTGTGAATCCTTGGGAAGGGAAAGCTGCCTGGTGAACCTTGTGAGCTTCCCCATCATCAACCAGGGAATGTTAGGGCCCAATATTTTGAGAGTCTTCTGAAGACAGGCATAGCTGCTCAGATTTCAGTGCCTCATACCCAGAAGAGAAGAGTTTCGCAACATTTGTTAATGTACTTTGGAACAGTTGTGTGAATTTATGTATGATTAACCAAGTTTTTTTTTTTCAACATTTAAAGAAACCTTCATGGGGCTGGAAAGATGGCTCAGTAGTTAAGGGCACTGGCTGCTCTTGCAGAGGACCTGGGTTTGATTCCCAGCACCCACATGGCAGCTAACAACGTTTGTAACTCCAGTTTCAGGGACTCTAACGCCCTCTTCTGACCTCCGTGGGCATTGTGCAACACAGATGTACTTACACACATGCAGTGAAAATAGTAGGGAGGTGTGTATGTAGGTGTGTGGGGGGGAGTCTGAAAACAACTTGCACAGCAGTTGGTTCTCTTCTTCCATGACGTGGGTCCTAAGGACAGAACTCTGTTCGGCAGTCCTGGTGGCAGGAGCCTTTACCTGCTGGGCCATCTCACTGGGCCAAAGATAGATTTTTTTTTAAAATTTTTTTTTACTTGAGTAGTTAGAATATGTCAAAGATTCAAAAGCTGTCTTGAAATGCCATTTTTAATTAGGAAGTAATGATTGATACTTTGTTTTCAAAGATGATCTTCCACTTGATCTGCATTATCTTTTAAAATGTTCTTTTCCGAGCTGGGCAGGGTGGCTCACACCTATAAATCCAGCAACTGGGAAACTAAGGCGAGAGGACTGTTGTGAGTTTTGAGGCCAACCTGGGGTACAGAGTGAGAATTTGTATCAGCAGAAATGCTTTTTCGGTGAGCTGTATCTGTACATTATTAACTTAGAGTCCGTTTATATCTGGCAGCCATATTTTCTGCTCTTAAGAATCTTCAAGATAAGATTCGACGCTTGGAACTTGAAAGGATTCAGGCAGAAGAAAGTGTGAGAACCTTGTCTAGGGAAACAACTGAATATAAGAAAGTTCTGGATGAACAGATACAAGAAAGGGAGAATTCGAAGAATGAGGAATCTAAGCACAGTCAAGGTTTGTTGGATTATGAAGAAAGTCACAAGGCCTCTAGATACCGTAAATTATTCCAGAACCTCACAATAGCAGTTTTTGTACTCATTATAATATTTGGATTTTAAGAAATACATCATAATTGGGTGCATTGTGAGGAACAGGTGACTTCATATGTTACACCTACTGCCAGTGTGGCATATTTGAGTAGCTGTAAGGAAGAAAGCCAAAAGGGCTTTGAGGACTACTGGTCTGTACTAGTGTGTGTGTATGTATGGGGCAGGGGAGGAGTGGTCATTTTGTTTTTGTACTTTGTATGCGAGGCATACGCTCTACTTGAGTCATACCTCTAGTCCACGAATGTACTGTAAGTTCAATTCCAGTGAACAAATTGTTGAAACAGTTCTGTGTGTGAGCTAATTATTACATTCTGTATGTATTCATTTTAGAACTGACATCCCAATTGTTAGCTGCTGAAAATAAATGTAATCTTTTAGAGAAACAATTGGAATACATGCGAAATATGATAAAGCATGCAGAAATGGAGAGGACATCTGTCTTAAAGAAACAGGTATGGCGCCCCCAGGTGAACCTCAGGTAGCACTTCAGAAACACAGTCTTGCTGGCATCTCGGAGTCCACATTAGCACATGTATAAATAATCACTTGCAGGGTTGGAGCGAGATGGTTCAGTGGACTCCTCTTGTAGAAGACCAGGGTTTGGTTCCCAGCACCCATGTGGCAGCTCACAGCCATCAAAATTTACATATAAAAATACATATTTTTGAAAATGCTTTTTGAGACAGAGCCTCCTGTAGCCTAGTCTTGCTCACTGTATATCCAGGGATGACTGGAACTTCTGATCTTCCTGCCTGCATCTCCCAAATGCTAAGGTTACAGGTATGTTCCACTGTACTTGGTTATGTGATGTGCTGGCATCGGGCCTAGGGATCTCTTGCATTCTAGGCAAGCACTCTCACCAACTGAGCTACATCCCTAGCTACTACAACTATTATTTCAACATTTTTTTCCTTTTACAACAAAAGTCTTTGTATTTAAGTAACTTGCACATTTGTATGACCACAGTTGCAGCATGAGTCTCCAATATATTTTTTAAAATCTCTTTCTGGGGCTGGAGAGATGGCTCAGCGGTTAAGAGCACTGACTGCTCTTGCAGAGGACCCGGGTTCAATTCCCAGCACCCACATGGCGGCTACAAACCATCCTTTACTCCGGTTCCAGGGGAATCCGAAGCCCTCTTCTGATTACACGACATGGGTGCACTCACATACATGTAGGCAATACACTCATACGCATAAAATAAAAATCATAAATATTTTTAAAATATATCTTTTTGACCTGGTGTGGTGGTACACGCCTTTAATCCCAGCACTCGGGAGACAGAGGCAGGAGGATCTCTGTGAGTTCGAGGCCAGCCTGGTCTACATAGTGAATCCAGGACAGCTGGGGCTGCAGGAAGACCCTGTCTCAAAAAGACCAAAAAAATATATGTATATCTTTTCGTACCATGACTATAGCATTTGAATTAATCATGAATGTTACAATTTCTGGGTAGTTTTTTATTGTGAGAAATTTTATTTCATACATGCTTAAAATGTGAGGTAGTCTGCAATTATAAAAGAGAACGACTGTATGTTTTCTAGCCTCTCTCAGCTCTTGAACATAGAGATGACTTAAAGAAATGTTTGAACAGTCACATAACAGTACTGGTAGGAGTGTGCCAGTGGTCGATCTCACTTGTATTGTGTCTCTTTCCTGTGCCTCTGTTAGTGCTGGACTGTTGAGTGTGTTCAGAGTCCTTGTATGATCCCCATTGCTGTGGGCACATGTGAAAAAACTGCATGACGTACTCAGACACTAAGCATTTGCCTTTCTTTCAGCAGATATCCATCTGGTGTATTTGCACATTTACCCAGTTTGTTTACCTCTGAGGCTGTCATTAAATGTGTGTAGAAGGCAGTCTTTCCAATCCTAAACTTGAAAGGGTAAAAAAGTATATTTTAAATACAATTCAAAGGAAATTTTAGATATAAGCGCCCATAGTTGTTGCTCTAATTAAGAGATTGAATACTTCTGAGGATCAGACTAATTGTTGGAGGTATCTGTGTTTATGTAGCTTGTGGGTCCAGTAAATCCTTGATATCCTGGGACATAAGGGATATTCTCATTGTATAAAATTGCATATTCTGTAAAATAGTATGTATTAAGAATAATATTCCAGGACTGGTGGGATGATTCAGCAGGAAAGGCACTTGTGGTAAAGCCTAAAAACCTGAGTTTGATCCCCAGAGCTACTCTTACATCTTGGCATACACACAAAATAGATTATATAATTTTTTAAAAATAAAGAACAGTATCTGATTTAATCATTTGATTGATTGATGCCCCTGAAGTTTTCTCTTAACATGACTAGAATTCCCTTCCATACCTCAGGGTTCTTTATAAGACCAGACAAACTCCGTCTAGTGTAGTGTAAGATGTGCTCAGTGTTTTCAGCATTTTGATCATCAGGTTATGCTGTGTTTTGATACTGTTTTTTCAGGTTTCCCTAGAAAGAGAACGACAACATGATCAAACTCATGTTCAAAACCAACTGGAAAAACTGGATCTTCTTGAACAGGAGTATAACAAACTTACCACAATGCAAGCCCTTGCAGAAGTCAGTGAATGGATCTTTTACTTACTAATGTACAGTATTGTAGCGGTCACTATTTTTAATTTCATATCTGAATATTTATAGCAGAAAGTGGTCTTACAACAAAAGACACAAAGAAGAATGTTTTTAAAACAAAATAATTTGAGGGACTGGAGAGATGGCTCAGCGGTTAAGAGCACTGGTTGCTCTTGCAGAGGACCCGATTTTGGTTCCTAGCACCCACATGGTTGCTAACCACCGTCTATAACTCCAGCTCCAGGGGATCCTCTGCACACACGTGTGCTCTTACACACATGCAGGCAGTGCACTCATACACATAAGATAAATCATTTTAAGAAAAAATAATTTGAAAAGGAATGTTCATATTTTCCAATCTTGGTAGCTAAGCATAAGGTAATTCTTTTTGAAAACTGAACAATGAAATGTTTTTGCATATCCTTGATACTTGCATGATATGGTTTAACTTTTCTCTGAAATAATTTTACTTTTAGTTGTGGTTTACGTGGTGGCTATTTAATGTCCCTGGGTGTAGATGCAGGTTATGGCTTCATGTAACCTTTATCTTCATACTCTGTTCTTTGGCCATATATTTTGCTCATAAATTCTGACCAGTTACCTCACAGCTCCCTCACAGATGACCACTTTTTGATCACAAAGGAGAGTGTATTGGACACCGTTGTGAAAACTAGTGTGCTCATGCTGATTATACTTAAAATGTTTGTACTTTACACCATTTCTGTTTTAATATTCTTATCACTAGAAAAAAATGCAAGAGTTGGAAGCAAAACTCCATGAAGAAGAGCAGGAAAGGAAACGTATGCAAGCTCAGGCAGTGGAGGTAGGTTGGGTTATGAGCAAGTAGACACTGTACTTTTTATGGATATAGGTAAACAGTTGTATTTCAACAGATTATTTGTACTTTAGTCTGATATAAGTTCTCAGCTTAATATGGGAAATTATGAATATAATTTTGCCAAGTCAAATTTGAACAATTCTTTAGCAAGTTTCAAGTCACATTTGGATTAGCATTTAAAAAACTTAAGGAGCTAAAAATGTCAGACACATAAGCATCCATCTACAATTTGAGTATCATAAGCAACAAGCTTGCTGGTTTTCTTGAGACTATTAATACCAAGACAGCAGTTAAGGTAATGGTCTGCCCTAGTAACTGGTGATCCGGCTAGTTCACAGAACGACCCAGCAGGAAAAATGAACTGTTTCTCATGGTGTTGAGTTTAGTTCAGTAGCCAGCCACCTGGTTAACACAGGTGAGGCAGAGTTAATTCAGAACACTTGAGTTTATTATGTATATCAGCCAGAACTGCATTTAGAGACGATCCAGCAAGAACACTGAAGTAAAATAAAACTTCTGAGTGCTAAGATTAAAGGTATGTGCCACCTCACTGAGCCAGCAAGGAGTTTTTGTTTTTTTTTTACGCTAAAGACTCTTTCTCTGTATTTGCTCCCACTTAGACTGTTTTCCGATTCCTTGAAGTGTACAGAGTTTGTCTCTGTTCTCGTAGCAGCACTGGAAGCAGGTCCTGATATCAAAATGGCTCTGCCCTGTAGCTCAGTCTCTGGTGATGTCTGCAGTGTCCCACATTCTCAAAAGCACCACTGCAGGAATATAAATGTTATACTATCTCTTCTAGTGCTTCTTTGAATTATTAATTCAGTATATCCTCTTGTTTTAACCCTGGTACAATTTGTAGATTCAGTATTTTTCTCTGTGTGTTTCTGAGTTACGTAGTGACTTGACTGTTTTTGACCTTCAGCAAATTTATTCTGCCCATTCTGACTTTAGGGAACACTGATTATACTATGTCTCTATTCCTCATTTGTAACATTGCAAATGTATAGGTTTCTTTGTATAACTTGTATAATATCGTTCTTATTAAATACACAGATTGTCACACTCAGTATTTTACTGATTTTAGAAATTACCCCTTGCTTTGTTTCTCATTTAACAGTAGGAACTAAATCAGTTGCTGCTGCTAATATCATCAGAACAGGCTTTGCATTCTCATGGTGAATGTTCTGGTAGCAGAAGAACACTAAGGGATGGGGGTTTCCACATCTTGCCGATTCCAGTTTATGTAACCTTGAACAGGTTGTTTAGCCGTTCAGAGCCTGGGTTTTACCATTGATAAAGTGAGTTTTACTATATGTCTTAGCTGTTAAAGAGATCAAATGAGGAAAATGATAATGAAGTCACTTTAAATGTTAAAATCCAGGCACTTCAGTATAGGAAAAAGTAGTAGATATATGAGCTAGAAGTTAAAACACTCAGAACATTGTTCCTCTGTGAACTGTTGACACTCACTGGAAATGTAAGTCTTCCAGAGAAGTAATTTCCTGTTGAGTTGTATCTAGTATAAAATGCTGTTAGGTAAGTCCAAGTGTTTAATGCTTCTGAGGGTGGAGAGCTCTGTGTTCCATTGCCCCCCAAGAATGCATAAAATACTGGGAATGACCTCAGTGTTACTGTTCCTCAGTCCATTACTTCTGAGTGTTTCTTAGAGCTCCATCATAACTTTCTGGGGAGCTTTTAAAATACTTGTAAAATAAAGCATATCTTTCTCCAACTTTTAAATTTAAGCTCAAGAGGAACCTGGCCATCTGACTTTTTAATAAATTCCAGACAATTTTGATGCATAGAGATATGAAGAAACCACTTTTACAGATTTGGGGGACAGGGGTATTGACAGTTGGCCTAGGGAAAATTGTAGCTTTGAAAAAAAAAAAATGCTTACTAATTTCTTGTAAATTTTTACCATAAAGATAACATTTGCTGAAATACCTTCTGGTACTTTGAACCTTCAAACAGGAAGAAGTATATTTTGCTCTCCATTTGCTTTGAGTCTGGTATTATATAATTCTACCTTTGAAAAGAGAAAATATAAAGGTGTGGTGGCACACGCCTTTAATCCAGCACTTGTGAGACAGAGGCAGGCGGATCTCTCTGCATTTGAGGCCAGCCTGGTCTACATAGGGAGTTCCATGGCAGCTGGGGCTACAGGGAGACCCTGTCTAAAAAAAAGAAAAGAAAAGAGAAAAGAAAGAAAGAAAAGAGAAAATCTCAAATTATCAGTTTGGAGTCATATGTATTACACTTTAATTTATAAGCTCAAATTTTTAGAATAATTATCAATAATAAAACAGTGGGTTCCAGGCTAAGACAAGGCAAGTCACAACACAGCAGTTTCAGATTAAACGAGAAACTGGTATTTGACAAAGATTGCCAGATTGATTCATACTGAGTCATATCTGGCAATTGATTCAGGACATAAACAGCTGTGATGTTTCTTAGTGAGAGAATTAGTATTGTATTTTATAGGCTTTTACATAGCCAATCTCAAGTTTGGATTGTAGCTTTTATTTTTATATCATTAACGCTAGACTATTTTTTTCCTAGTTGCAGACTGGTCTCGAGGCAAATAGACTGATTTTTGAAGATAAGGCAACTTCATATGTTCCCAGTACTAGAAAAATTAAAAAAAAGAAGACAAAACCACCAGAAAAGGTACGAAAACTGAACAGTCAGGCAAAACGCCCATTTCTTGGTAATCATTTTATAACAGTGCTAGTAAACCATGTGGAGAGTGACTCTCATTGTTGGCTTCTTTACTTAAAATGAGGAAGAGAAGTAGAATTTACTCCTAAATTTACCCCTAAATTACAGCGGTGTACGAAGGACTCCATCCAGCTTGCACTGATTACATTGGGCTCTTCAAGTGCTTAACTGTGTCTGAACACTGCTCCTCTCCGTGACCGTGACAGTGCTTCCTTAGCACTTGTTTTCTGCCTTAGCCTTCAAGTGTTAGTTTGCTCAAGACCATACTATCCCAGTACTCATTAAGTGTTGTCTGAATGTGATATGCCCCCCATAAGCTCATGGGTTTGAGCACTTGGTCCCCAATGTCAGGTCCTAGCCCGGCCCCACGTCTTGTTCTCTCTCTGCTTCCTGACCGTGGATGCAGTATGGACCCCCATCCCCACCTCCTGTGCTCCCATCCCATGCTCCATACTGTTGCCATTGATTATATTTCTTCAAACTTTGAGCCAAAAGAAGCCCTTCCTTAAGGTGCTGCTTATTTTGTGGCTGTTTGGTTACAGCAGTAAGAGAAGTCGATATGCAGTCTGGTGGTGACTAGTGGTTTCAGAGTGGTGTGTAGGCAGCTTGTATCATCATGGGAATAAAATAAATTGTTTTCTTTTTTTCCATCCAGAAAGGTTCTAGAAACTACTTCAGTGCACAACCACATTACAGATTATGCTTGGGTGATATGCCTTTTGTTGCTGGAAAGGTAAGTTGGAACTATGAATTTTTCTGTACAGCTTGTGTGTTTGAAATAAATCCATATACCTATCTGTATGGCTGCCTGTATATGGTGGAAACAGTTATATGCATATACCCTTCACCTAAAAATGAGAAAGATGGAGCTGGAGAGGTGGCTCAGCAGTTAAGAGCACTACTGCTCTTGTAGAGGACCCGGGTTCGATTCCCAGCACCCACATGGCAGCTTATGAACTGTCCTTAACTCCAGTTCCAGGGAAATCCGAAGCTCTTTTCTGACCTCTGTGGCACTGCACCATACCGGTGCACTCACTTACATGCAGGCAATACATTCATACACGTAAAATAAAAATAATAAAATATTTTTTTCTTAATGAGAAAGTTGGGGGATAACTTTTATGGGATTGAAGGGAGCGCAGAGGAGATGAGGAAGGCACTTTACACAATGTAATAGAAAACAGAAATGATTCACATTACAGGTGTGGTGGCTCAGGCCTTTGACCCCAGCATTCAGGAGGCAGAAGAAGACAGATGTGTGAATTCAAAGCCACATTTTCTACATACCAAGTTCCCAGGGCTACACAGCGAGACCCTGTCTCCTAAAAGACACAGAAAAGAAAGGGGAAAATGCAGACTAGTTTTGTGTCATTGCACATAAGGTACAAGGAAATAAACTGAACTTGTAGCTTTGTATATTTACTGTTAGCCATAGGATACATACCTAGATAAATATGCAAGCCATCTCGTTTCTCCACACATCTAGATCATTCACGTCTGGGGCTAATTCTCTAGGAAGTCATACTTACCCTTAGTTTCCCTTAGTGCTCAGATTTGAAGGTGATTTCTTTTAGGTGCTGACATTATTTTAGTTTATCCAGTTTTCTCTTGGAATTGTTTGTTACTGGTTTTCTGTTTACACAACTAGATTGTCAGTTTTAGTGACCTAGGTAGTAAAGGGTTTTGTTTTAATTTTCTTTTATGTAGTAGTGTGTCTGTATTATATATATATATATATATTTTTTTTTTTTTTTTCTTTTTTTTCTTAATCTCATAATAGACCGTTAGTGAAAGCCTGGGGAATAAACAGTTTCCTAGACTTTTTGCTTTTCAGCTGTGTGAGGTGCAAATCATTTACAGTTGATCTACAATCCTGTATCCACACAAGAGATCATCTTTTTACCTGTGTTACCTGTTGTATTCATCTGTGCTACTTTAAAATTTTTTCATTTTTATGTGTCAGTCTTTTGCCTGCATATATGTAAGTGCACCCATGTCGTGCAATGCCTGAAGAGGCCAGAAGAGACTGTTGGATCCCCTACAGCTAGAGTTAAAAGATGGTTGTAGGTGCTGAGACCCAAACCCAGGACCTCTGCAGGAGCAGCCAGTGCTCTTAACTGCTGAGCCATCTCTTCAGCCCCCTGTGCTATTTGCTACTGCCTGTCTCTCTCCCTCCCCCTCTAGTGCTGGGATTACAGTATGTGCCACTATGCTCAAGTGTATCTTCAATTCTTAACAAGCTTTCTTGTCCATCACAGCAGAGTCTCTTGAATTTCTTTAGGGGTAGCTAGTGCCATCAGAATCACCAAGAATAAATTTTGTTTAAGCAGATTTTTGCAAACCTACTGAGACAGAATAATGTGGATGTGAGCCTAGATGATGTTTTTAATGTGTTCCCCAGTTCCAATCTGATGCTTATTAAATTTGGGATTCACTTAGTTCAGCCTTTTTTTTCTGATCCACCTTGTGTGAACACTGCTGCTGAAGACCCGTGACAGCTAAGACAGACCTCACGTTTCTAGTCGTTTGTGTGTTAGAGTTCCTTTGTATGTGAGTGCCCCCATGTCATGCAGTGCCGCAGAGGTCAGAAAAGGGCCTCGGATTCCCCTGGAACTGGAGTTAAGGACGGTTCACAGCCGCCACGTGGGTGCTGGGAATTGAACCCAGGTCCTCTGCAAGAGTAATCAGCACTCCCTACTGCTGAGCCATCTCTCCAGCCCTAGGATTTTTATCTTTTAATTTGAAGATAGACTTCTTCGTATTTTTTACTCTAGATGTAGTTTTCACTGTTGATCATAAGTGTAGCTCTTCTGGTTGTCGCCTTCCTCAAATTGAATGTCACCTTCTCAATGCAATATGATTAGCAAAGAACAGAACATGTGCCGGTCTAAATCTGCTAGTTCAGTCTCAAGAGTGCATTTGTGGAGAGGGGGCAACAAGCTGAGGCTGACTTTGAACTCACAGAAGTCTTCCTGCCTCGGCCTCCTGAGTGCTAGGGTTATAGGTATAAGCTACTACACCTGGCCCAAGGAGAACACTTTTAATAGAAGCTACACTGCTCCTGTTCACCAACTGTTGCTAAAGTCAAACTAAGAGACCGGTGTTCTCTAAATGTTTGCATCAGTTTCTATAGAAGCTGTTATTTTTTTTATACAAGATTTTTATTCACTTTAAATTTACATTTTGTTACATGAGGCACTGTGAACATGTATACGCACAAGCAGTGGAGGTGGGGAGCCTTTTTTGTTTTTTTATTATGTCTGTTGGGGTGCATGCCTGCCACAGCACACATGTGGATGTCAAGAGGACAACTTGGAGGAGTTGGATTTCTCCTCTACACAGGCCATCAGGTTCGCATGTCAGGTGCCTTATCTACCGAGCCATCTCACTAGCCCTCTGCAGAATTTATGTGATTTTTTATTCTAAAATTTCATACATTGCCTTTGATCATTCCATCCCCCCTTCCCTCTCTAGCACCTTACCACCACCCTACAACCCCCCGATTCCACGTCCCCTATTATCTGCCCTTTTATTTGCTTTTTAAAGGCCTGATTCCTATCCATACCTTCCAAGTGCTCCTGGGTGGGGTTCCATCATGCCCTAGAGTCTGGTTAACCTACCAGGTGTCGTCACCCAGTAAGGAAAACTTAACTTTTTCTCTCCTGGCATTGATGAGTTGCCAGTACATTCTCAGCTAGAACCGTGGCTTCCTGCATACCTACCCTTTCCATAGTGGGTCCATGTCTAGCTTCTTGTGTTTGAACAAGTCTTGTGCATACTGTTGTAAGTACTGTGGGTTTCTGTATCCAGTAATCAGTTTCCTTGTATTCATCTACCACCCCTGGCTCTTAAAATCTTTCTGTCCCCTCTCTGAAATGATCCCTGAGCCTTTGGAGAAGGTGTGATAGAGGTGTCCCATTTAGATCTGAACACTCTTTCTGCACGTTAATTATTCGTGGGTCTCTTAATTGGCATCTGCTGCAAGAACAACTTTCTCTGAGCATTGAGGGATGTACTAATCTATGGGTGTAAGTCATGAGTCCGTTTAATATTGTCTCTATTTAGCAGAATAATGATAGTATGTTCTCCCAAATTAAAAAATGTTATAGGAATAGCCCATTTCTTTTGACAGTCTCTTTCACTGATTGTATGTCCCCATCCCCGTCCCGTCATCACCCCCCGCCCCCCCCCCCGCCCGTCTTGG